TAAATTGAATTAAATATAAAACGCAAAATTGAATCAATAAACTCTAGCAAAATTGAACCTGAGTTAAACTATGTAAGTCTAAAAAAAAAATCTTATAATAGCGAGTTTTTAACCAAAACTCTCAAAATTTCTTAAACTATACAAATATAGTAAAACATACAAAGATTAAACATATTAAAACGTAATTAATAAATACTTCGAACTAGAATTAAATAATATTTATTCAAAAAACGGGTGTAAAAATGCATAATAAAAAATAAAAATAGTGAACACGCAGTTCTACAAATAAAATGAGGGGGTGGTGAATCTATAAAAAATACTGACCCAACTAGCCGACTAAATTCGTAAAAAAAACAACTATATCTATATAATGTATGTTTGTATAAACATCACAAGTTTTTATAAGCTGTAGTATTATTAAATTGAATTTATTGCATCAATTTCAATAACTTTACATGATAATTTTCGAAGCACTTTATTTGCTGCAATACGACAAGATAAGAGTATAGGGATGTTATACATAATGCGATATAATACAAAAGATATATAAACTTAAAGCAAATTTAATTGAGTGTGACTAATATATTTGTGGCGCTTTAGTAAGTAAGGTACGCTCTTAATAGAATTTGTTTATTATGATTCCTAGGTACTTGAAGCAATCAACTCATTCCAGTTTAGATTTTAAAAGATATGAATATGGAAATGCAAATTGATTAAGGTGATATCAATGTTTTGGATTAAATAATTAGGTGATTTTATCGCGAGTGAAACAGCCGGCGCAGAGTTTTCTAAAATCGGAAAACAATGCCAAATTTCTACACTAAATATCAAAATATTGAAACACATTTTATACTTTTAATACATTGGTACTCTTAAGGTGAGTTTCTACTCAACTTTTTTTTACAGGAATAGGAAAGGGAAGGAAAAAATAATCACGTGGGCATGGGTAGTATAAATTTTAATTTGTCCGAAGGAAAACTACGCATGCTCACGTAATTATGAGTGGAAACTCACTTTAAGGTCCTTCATACACGGGATTTGACGTTTATTAGTTTTTAGAAAATTTTCTCACCCACCCCATACTTATTAAGACCACCTCCTCCCCATCCCCCCCCTCATCCCCGTTTAATAACTTTTACTTGTTATCAACAAATAAACATCATCTTAAAACTAAAAAAAAAACTGAAAAAAGAATATACCAGTTAGTATTAACAATAAAAATTTTCAATGTAATAAAGCTTTCAAAATCGTCAACTTTTAAAAAATCTCGTAAATTTCGACTTGTAAAAATTTAGTTTTTCGTTTATTTCTCACCTTAATATAAAACTTATGTAAGCATATTAAAACTTATGTAAGCAATTAAATCCTAGTTAACCATATTAAATCTTAACCATTTTAATTCTACGCAAGTCACTCTAGAATTAAATTCTTTAATCGTGTTCTGTAAAAAATTCCCACTTACACTTTTATTAAGACCCCTCTCTTCCTAGGTTTAATTAGGTTTAACAAAATTCTCCCTTTCTTTCATCTCCCCCCCCCCCCCTCCTCCTTCCCTTGTATTAATCACTCAAGAGTAATGAACCAATTTTTTCAAAAACTTATTACTAATAACTACCTTATAAACATACATTAAATTACATCTAGTATGCAAAGTTGTTAAACTTATCTAACTTTTGATTAAGAGTTTCACAAATTTTGCTACAATTGTTAAAGACGTATTATATATTAGAATATTAGAAGAATTGAATTTTTTAGTTTCAGTTAACAGTATAATATCTGATTCATTAAATTCAATAACATTTAATAAAAATGTTTTTATTATCATTAAATGAAACAACATTTAATGATAATTAAAAAATTTCAATTTTATTTTTAGATTATTTTTTAATTGTAAAATTGTAAAAATTGCAATAATATTTTTTAATATTATTAATGATATAACAATTAATGACACTTCTTTAATAAATAAATAAAATTATTATAATTAATGACAATTCTATAATAAATGAAAATAAACTTTATTACAATTAATGACAATTCTCTAATAAATAAAAATAAATTTTATTACAATTAATGACAATTCTGTTACAACCTTGGGTGATTTTACGGGTGGGGTGTGTGAGGGTGTTGTCCCTCCCCCTCTCCCCCAAAGAAAGTGATTTTTAAGTTATAGTCGGTTTTTTTACGAATTCAGTCGGCTAGTCGGCTATTTGACGCAATTAAGTTAGTTAAACTTTCGTTTTGAGGACTATTTTTTTTTCTTTAAGCTAATTGGTACATTTTGCGGATGCACCCTCCCCCCTCATTTTATTTCTAGAATCGCCTCTGGTTACAACTAATGAAAATTAAAACATTTCAATTCTTATTTTTATTGACAAACTTTGTAAAAATTGACAAACTTTGTAAAAATTGCCCAATTTTAAACAAGTACATTTGAGAATGATTTTTTTCATAATTTTTTTGTGACAACTAACTACAACAAGATGCATCATTACCTTTAACGTTATACAACAAGATGCATCATTACCTTTAACGTTATACAACAAGATGCATCATTACCTTTAACGTTTTTTATTTTATTTTTTTTTTACTTGTTTTTACTTATATTTTGGTTTTCTTCGGTTGGAAAACATTCATTGTAGAGTTCTAGGAAAATATCTTTAAATGTATTATATACTGACCAAGGTTACATTCTCGGTATACTTTATCCCAGCATACTTTAGAGAGAGAGGCGGTCTATTTAGTTATCTCAATCGTAAATACTTCACTATAGACATCAATGATTGGGAGGGTTTTTTTACTGTAATCGTTTGATCATCTTAAATATATATTGTAATTCCTCCTCTTTTTTTTTTTCTTTTATAAGATATTAGTTTAAATTTTGAAAGTTTAAATTTGTTTGAGAAGATTTATTAGTGCGCCTTATTACTGGTAGAACACCGTGTTATTGGTAGAACACCATATTACTGGTAAAAAATCATACTAAATAAGTAATTGAAATTTATTAGATTGTCCTTTAGTTTTCTAAAACAATTTATGTGTAAAACACGTAAATATAAAAAAAAAAAAATTAAATTTTTGTGTTATATAGTGAAAAATTTTTTTAAGTTTCAAGTTCAGTTTTAAAAGTTTCAAAACATTTTGAATCAAAACTCATTCCGTAAAATTTTTGCACTTTGTAAAAATTATTAAAAAATATTATTAGTAGTTTTGAGGACATTAATTAGTTTAATCTTTTGTTTCATCAGTCGATATGTTCGTGTTCAATGGTTTTCAAAAAAATGACGATTTAAACTTTACAGCGCCCACAATGAGAGTTGGTTCTAAACATTATTATCAAGCATCAAAAAAATTTTGGGTGATCCGTGAGGCGGTGTGTTTTCACTTATACGTTTTTCTACAGGGATGAGAAAGTAAAAAATTAATACGTCAGCCGCGTAACTGTTTATTTTATTTTAACGGTGGGTATTTACAAAAAAAAATTAATAATAAAAAAATAATTAACACGGATTAGTATTACCTTATTAATATTCATTTTTTATTTTTTAAAACGCGGTTTAAAATTAAAAAATGGCAGCATAACAATTTTGTTTTGCTTAAATTTAATAACAGCTGTCTGAAAAACATTTTAAGAATATTGTGTTTTTCATTAATGAAAAATCGCCTAAATATGTTCCGGCTAAGGTACATTTTTTTTAGAAAACAGGTGTTAAAGATTATCTTTGCACATCTGCTTCCTTCTGCAAAAAACAAAACAATTCCTTAATACTTGGCAAAAATAAAAATAAACAGCAGGCCAGATTTTTATTTTGTCTATTTATGTTTTTTAATACGACCAAGTTGTAGCTAATAAATTATTCTAAACGTGAACGAAAGAGTGTGCTGACATACTGTTTGGAAGAAGTCTTTAAAAACTTTTATCAGTATCTTTTTCTTTTATATTTTTCTTTTTAAAGTTTAATTTATCATGTAGTTATACAGCTTTTTAAAAAAGTAATTATTATTCTTAAAATTTCCAACTTTCATTTAAACAGCTTAAAAAACATCACACACACGGATATATATATATATATATATATATATATATATATATATATATATATATATATATATATATATATATATATATATATATATATATATATATATATATATATATATATATATATATATATATATATATATTGATCTTTTCCCAGTAAAACCATATTGGTAAATTTTTGAGAATTGCTTAACATTCTAAATTTGTACTGAACTTATTTGTTTATAGGTTTATATTTTTAACAGATAAAAAATTATAAGTGTCGAGAAGTTTACAATTTCAAATGTTACCTTTTTAGCGTTACATTTATACTTTAATATTCTTCCTAATTAAGTGTAAAAATAATTTTTACTGGTTTTATATGCATACTGGTTTTATATTATATGCATAACAGTTTTTATTATATGCATACAGTTTATACTATATGCATACCGGTTTATAGTATATACATACCGGTTTATATTATATACATACCGGTTATATGCATACTAATTTTACCGATTTTATATTATATGCATTAAAATAGTTTTTAAAAGTTTCTGATGTTTTTATCTGGTAAATAATGTTAGAAGTTTACACCACAGCATGTTAGAAAAACTTGGCAATAATTTATTTACTGTCAACTATAAGCTTTTAGTTTCATTTGTTGATAAATCAAAAGTATATGAATCATAAAATAACATAATTATACAAACAATGGAATCAAAATTGATAACAAAGGATTTAGATAGATAAAAAAAAACTGCAGCAGTTGTTTAAAAAAAGTGACCAAAATTTGCGATTAATAAAACGTGTTAAAGTTTCGCCTGCCTTAAAATTGTTTAGAATTTCATTTATCTAATTTTTTCAGAAATTTTATCTAAACTTTTTTTCAAATTATATTAGCAAAGATATATAAGAAAAAATATTTACACATTAAAGTCAATAAAAAGGTTAAAAAAATTGTTTATATTTAAAAAGTTTTTTAGATTGCAATGCGGTGATATGGTTTTAAAAAGACATTTTTTTTTAGTTATTAAGGTACTCCAAGGATAATCTTATCGCCGGAGCTTGTTTAAACACATCCGAGGAGCATTTAATTAGGAAGTTCACGGCTCCTTCCATATCGATGTCATTTCGTGGGTTTAAGCCAGCATCGAAATTAAACCTCTTGGTTCTGAGTCAGAACTATTACCACTGCAACATGGCTTAATAGTTGTCAATTTTGCAATAGAACTCAAAAAAAGGGTTCCTGCTCCTGCGCATTTGCTTTATTTTTTCAAAACAAGGATGGTCTAAAAAATGATGGCACTAACTTGAGAAATATTTTAAAATTGTAAGTTGTTCACATTAAAACTTTTTACAGAATTGCAGCAAAAGTTTTTACAAACCGCATGAAACTTATAAATTTTTAATAACTTGTATTTTACTTTTAAATTATTATCAAACCTCTAGCTGAAGTACTTAAACTCGTAGTCATTGTAATAGAATCAAGCAGAGGCGATTCTACGAATAAAATGAGTGGGGGTTGAATCCTTATAAAGTACCGGCTGGTTCCTTATATATAAAAAATTGGTTTATTTTTCACCAAAGTATAAAACTTACATCAGCATATTAAATCCTATTGAAATTATGATGAAACAGCTGTTGTAAAATGCGCATTTGTCCGCAAGTCACGCCAGAATTACATAGTTTTATGCGTGGTTTGTAAAGAATAATAATTTGGATATATAAATCATAAACTATCAACACAACCTCCCATTTACAAAATTTGAGAAAAATCCACCCCTTTTCTATTTCATTTACCCTCCCCTCTCTCTTGCCCCCCCTCCCTCCTTTATTATTATTTTATTTCGTATATCACAACCGTTTTGAAAACCGTTATTTACGAATTGTTTTACTTTTTGTTATTTCTAAATATTCTTTTAAGCATGAACTTTGAACAAATATGATTTGCACATACAATACAAAGATAAAATCTGAAGTTAAATAAACTTTTTTGCCGCGTACCTTTATTAATAGATATACATCCTACGTGCGTGGTACAAGATACACATCATACGTAAATGTTACAGGGTAAACATCTTACATATTTAATACAAAGTACATAGAATACGTTCATAGTTCAAGGTATAAAGTTTTCAAAACGTTTTATAATATTGAAATCACTTTTTTTATTTAAGAGGTTATTTCTTAAAAAAGGTTTATGGAGCCTTTCTATACCGCACAGTAATAGTATGATTCGATTCCGTGTTTTCATTTTCTTTGAGTGCTTGTTAGGCCTATATAAATACAATGACGTGATATTGTAAATGATCAAAGCATTTATATAATAAGGGGCTGTCTGTTAATTACGTTAAGAAATTTTTGGAAATTTTTACCTCTCCTTCCCCCTTGTCAGCAGTTTGTCAAATTTCCAGAGCCCCCCCTTCCCCTATAAAATTATGCCAACTTTTGATTACCCCCTATACAAAGAAACTACGCTACAAACTCAGCCTAATTTTCCGTTATTTAAGCAATAAAACTCAAAAAAAAAAAAAATTGTCGACATCAACTTTAATTGACTCCCCCCTCCCCCTCCTCAATGTCAACAATTGTCAAAAAGGTTCAGACCTCCCTCCCCCCTTATTTTGTTGACGTAATTAATGGACAACCCCTGAGTAAATATACTAAACCATTTAAGAATATTTTTACCTATATTTTAAATTTCTACTTCAGATTTGTTTTTTAGTGACTTCAAACCTAATAAGCACTCTTATGTCCATATAACTTTGCATTGTTTCTTTTTTCCCAAAGCTCACTAGAACGTTATATTGTTTCTTTGTTATCAAAGCTTGTTTTCTTGTTACCAAAGCTTATTGGAACTTTGTATTGTTTCTTTGTTTCAAGTTTTGTTATACTTATTACTATACTGAATTATCTTTTTTATTATTTAATATTCACAAACTATTATATTTATTGTAAATATATAATGAAGCTAATTTTTTGACATTAAAATATAATTACAACTGCATTATAATCGTATTCAGACTTGAATTTAAGTACATTTAATATCAAGATCCATAAATAAAGTCGGATTTTACCCAGTGGGCACCGGACCAAAAAAAAACGTCTTTTGAACGTTCAAAAGACGTCCAAAACGTTCAAAAGACGTTCAGAAGACGTCCAAAACAAGTATAAGACGTTTAAAAGAGTTTTTTACGCCCGTGCCCACTGGGTAACTAGCATAACGGCTACCCGACAGCGACTTTATAATAGGTAACCTAACGACTAACTGACAGCAACTCACTAGTGTTAGTTTACACAATAGTAAACTGTGTTTTTTTTTTTTTTTTTACACAATAGTAAACAATAGTGTTTTTTTTTTCACTATGATTATTTTTTTAGGTTAAATTATAAATGGGCTATAATTCAAATGACGAACGTGCTCCAAAAACTGTTTATAAAATTGAAACAGAGGAAATAGAAGTTAAACAAGAGATGAGTAAAGAATACAAAAAGAGAAGAAAAGCCATAAACCGTGAAGATGCAGATTCAAATAATCGATCAAACGAAAATGTATCCCCTTTAGCGGACACTTCAATAAAAGAGAAAAAAATAACATTGAACGAAAAAAATGATTATCAGCGAAAACGTAGTAAACTTAATAATATTCTTTTTCGATTGGAAAAGAGAAAGAAAACAGAAAACACTCATGAAAAATTAAGAACAGAAATTAAGGAGCTTGATGAAAAACTTCATGAACAAGACAAACCAAATCAAAATATATTTAAGAAAAGAAAGAATACAAATAAAAATAGTGAAAGTAAAGAGCATGAACAAAAGGTTTCACAAATACAACGCCGTCTTGTTGCAAACGCAAGGGAACGGTCACGCGTTCATGCTTTAAGTAATGCGTTTAATTTGTTAAGAACGTCTATACCTAGTTATTCACCGGAACAAAAACTTTCAAAACTAACGATTCTCAGAGTTGCTATAAACTATATTAGCGCACTTGAGGAGATTTTGAACGATAATCCTTCAATTCATAATTTTGCTGGATTTGTTGATGAATGCACGTGTATATTGCAGACAGAATATGGAAGGTCCAAGTTTTTAAACTATCAAGATAAATATAAGAATTAAAATAATAATCATAACTACTTTTTTTTTGATCCAATAAGTAAAATTTTAAATAAATAACAAAATGTTTTAATGTATGAGCTCGTAAATATGTTTTTTCACAAACAATAACTTTAGAATAACCAGGAATAATAATATGCGAAAATAACAAAGCGCAAAATTTTTAAAAACAGCACACGCATTTACTTGTTTTACGTTTTATGCGAATTAAACGTTTTTAAAATTTATTAGACGTAAAATGTACTGTTGATAATAAAGTACCTTTAATTTACTTTTATTCGCACTTCCACAATCAATATTATCATAATTAATATGAAGAGAAAGAAAGTACCAAGGCTTAATTAAAGTTAAAGTATGGTTATCTGAAATTAGCTTAATAAACGGACGGAAAAAAACACATACTGAATCTTTTTAGTCCCTGGAAAAAAACATACTGAAACTTTTTAGTCCCTGTGTTTTTAATCCCAATGTCAACCTATTGCACTAACATCGAGTGCAATCCTGTCTGCTTTCTTTATGCTATCTTTCTAACACGATTACTTTCACTCTGTCTTTCACTCTAACATATCTTCGTTCTTCCTAAACTCACTTTACTCTTGGTCCGTAGAGCGGGTTATGACGCTCCTTGGGGAGCCGAACCTGTCTTTGCGGTACCTTAGTAATGTGGCCTCTATATGGCAACTAGCCTGAGGAGGATAAACCACGATACCAAATTAGCTTAATAAACTCGTCTTTTACGTAAGCTTTCTAATGAGAATTTTGTATGATAAATTTCTACTAAAATATACTTTATACTTTAAAAAGTTTGTAGGCATAATTTTTTGAATTTAAAAATAGGAGTCGAGGAAACACGGGGTTCGTTGAAACACTGAATTTTTGCACCATCTAACAACCTACAGCCATATTTACTACTCTCCGTTAAACATATATACATATATATATATATTATATATATATATATATATATATATATATATGTATATATATATATATATATATATATATATATATATATATATATATATATATATATATATATAATTGTTTTTTTCACAAAGTCACCTGTTGCATTCTAACTAAAACAGCCTCACACCTTAACACTACATCCATGTTTTACAGTCAATAATAGATACTATCTTATCATAAATTATAAAAGTTTTTCTTTCCAGACAGTCTTATTTGAAACCAAAGATTTATAACTTTGACAAGTCGGTCGTTTAAAGTCGATGATGGTCCATTTTTTATGTAGTTTTTCTACTTTAGCATTTTTATTATTCTTATGATTTTTATCAAATTATTTTAACCAAAATATTTTTAAATTATCTAACAGTGCAAAAACAAACATAAAAAATAGTTAAATGAAAAATTGCATTTTTAAAAAGCGTCAATGCCATTCGAATAATTATGAACAGTAGTGTAAATATCATAAATATAAAGTCCAAAATATACGAAGTAATTAAAAATATAATTGCATACACCTCCAAGACATGATTAAAATAATTATCAAGTAAAACAATATAATAATGTGAACGTAAAAAATAATCCAAGAAATATATCTCTAATATTTTTGTGGTATGATAAGATGTTTCACTATATATTTATTTACCGCATTTTTAAAGAATATTTTAGTATAAATATGATAAAAACTTTTTGAAATGCGGTAATTGATTTTAGCTTTGTTTTCAGAGTGTTAGTTGTTTAAATTTATTAGAGATTCGTTTCTGAAAATTGTTTTGTTAAATGAATAGGGACCATGATATATAGTTGAAAGCTTTGAGAGTTTTGTTGCTTCAAACTGTGTCATAAAGTTGCCTATTGTTCTTGTATTGTATATATTTTATTTGTTTTTAAAAAAGTTTGTTGTAAAATGTTCTGGAACCAGACTTAGTTTTTATTTAAACATGAAAATAATACTTTGATAAACATCTATTGGAAATATATTTAGTGCGTTCATTTGTTCCAGTAAGGGGTTGAGCATGAGTGAATTGGTTTTAATGTACACTTGTCTTACAGCATGTTTTTAACGTAAGTAAAGTGGTTCTAATTTAGATTTGTGGGTACTGCCCCAAGCTAAATTGGCATACATAAGATAACTATGAATGACTAGTAAACAAATTTTAGACTTTTTTGTGACAAAAATGGTCTTACCTTGTAGACTAAATCTATGTTCTTTGATATGTTTGTGTTTAAGTAGTTTATGTGGGGTTCCAGGAGATGTGTTCATCAATTAAAACCCTAAAAAATTTGTATTCAGAGCTCTTTCGGTGGTTATACTTTCTATATTATTTGTTGGTAGGTTCAGGGCTATTTTTAAATTTGTTGATTAGAGCGGAATAGTATATATTTTGTTTTTTTCTATATTGAGAGATAGTTCATTTGATCTAAACTATATAATAATTTTTTTTTAGTTCAACATTTATTTTTTTAAAGAGGTCTTCAATTGTCTTTCAAGAGTTAAATAAGTCATTGGCAAACATTGAAAGATATTAGAAACTATATTGTTTGAAAGATATTAGAAACTATATTGTTTGAAAGATATTAGAGGCATTTGGAAGACCGTTTATATAAACAAGAAACAAAGAAGGAACAAAAATGGATTAACCCATTTAATAACTTTGAGTTTCTTTGTCTATATAAAAGTGTGTTATTATAGATAACATAATCTCTCTCTCTCTTTCTCTCTCTCTCTCTCTCTCTCTCTCTCTCTCTCTCTCTATATATATATATATATATATATATATATATATATATATATATATATATATATATATATATATATATATATATATATATATATATATATATATATATATATATATATATATATATATATATATATATATATATATATATATATATATATATATATATATATATATATATATATATATATATATATATATATATATATATATAAATACATATTTTCATATTGATTTTGTTGAAATCAGCGCATCTTGGTCTGCGCATCTTGGTCTATTTTTACAAAATGTTGTTTGTCACAGTACTTGCTACTTACAGTTTTGTTAATAATTGGCCTTAACGTAAGGCAAAAATTGAAGCGTTTGGTCTTGAAAATGTTTGCGTAGACCTTGAAGTTAAGACCTTGAAACTCTTAATCTTGGCCTTGATCTTAAAACTCTTGGCCTTGTAACTTCTGGCCTTGCTCTTGGCCTTGCTACTTTTGGCCTTGTTAACAGCTCTGTCAATCGCCATTGTTAACAACTCTGTCAATTGTCATTGTTTACAACTCTGTCAATCGCCACTGTTAACAACTCTGTCTATCAACCATCGGAATTTGAATGATCATTTCTTAACTTAGTGCTTAAATCATTCCAGTCAGGAAAATGATTCCAAATCATTCCGAAGTTCATAATTCCTCTTCCTCGATCTTTCTTTAGAAAATGTTTTATAGTTTGAAATTTGGAGGTCAGAGTTTGTTTATGTTACTTCGTCAGAGCACCAAGTAAGGCAGATTATACCGAAAGTATGTTTGCACTCAAGGAAAAAAGTTTTTTAATTTGTCTAAATTTAAAGTAAACTTCTGATGTTTATGTGTAAGGCAGATTATACTGAAAGTATGTTTGCACTCAAGGAAAAAAGCTTTTTAATTTCTCTATATTTATAAGTAAACTTCTGATGTTTATGTGTATTACTTTAAAGTTATTTATAGTGTTTTTATCTTTAAATTTAAAATTTTGAATGTTAAAATATGCACAATTAGAGTATTTTTTGTTTAAAAAGCTAAAGTTGTCATAATGATTGCATGGTAAAGATTTATAAGCAAATTATAAGGTATTAAATGATATATTCAAATTCAAAGATATATAAATGCAGCGTTTCAAAGTCTATGTTTACATTCGTTGTAATGATTTTTTAGAATTTAAAAACTTGCTAAAAATGCGCTCGCTTTTTAAAATTTTTTAAATTCTCTGCAATAAATTTCATCAAATTTAAGGGGGCTCACCCTCTTCAAAGTAGCACAAAAAAAAAAAAATTGAAATTTTGTTTTTTTGATTTTAAGTATAAAATTTAATGAGGAATCTGATTCTAATTTAAAAATAACAAAAAAAAAACAACATAAGTATATCTATTTCTTGTTTATTTGAACATGGTGTAAAATAATTTCCTTAGCAACGCCCATAGCAACAGTTTTGTTTTATTTTTTCTACCTATCTGCTTTTTAGGGTACTCATTGGAAAGAATATTATAATAGTGATTAAAAAAATATATTTTCATTTTAAAATAATGACACCTGTTGCCATGGTTACTAATTCAAAATGGCGAAAACCATAAATTCTTGAAATTTGGAAAGATAATTCCCTTGGATTGGCATAATATTTTTCAATGAAACTTTCTAACATTGTTTATTAACATAAGATGCATGCAATAAACCAAAAAAATCAAAATATTATTTCGGGAAGGATATCTATTTAAGTTTTTAAAAAATCAATAAAATTTTTCTATATTTTTATGATAAAAACAAACTTTAAACAAGCTAATTATAAAAAATAAAAAAAATTTAAAGCAAACTTTTGGTTTATTGCATGAAACAATCTATTTTGGGTGTTGTGTGAAAATTTTAGCTCAAAAGCTATAATAGAACAAGAATTATCACATTTCTAAATTCTATTAAAACTGATTTAAAGGGTGTTTTGATAATGGAAAATTATACAACATCTACATAATCTATAATTTTATATTTTAAAACTATACCAAACAAATATAAATAAAAATCACTGTGTAACTAAAAATAAGGGAATACGATATTCAGAATAAAAAAATATGCCTATACATTCTCTCTTTACAACTTTTATACCATTGTATATGTTTTCCACTGAAATAAAACTTTTGGAATCGCCATCTCCATATAATTCTGTATACCTTGCAAAAATAATTTTTGTGTCTTCTGTTTCCATATTTGGTGCTGATCCAGTAAAATTTGCTGAACAATTGTGATTAATTTCCAAATTAGGTTTCTCTAATGAGTCTGTTATTTTATAAATTTTCTCACATTTTTTACAATACCGACTCATCAAAACAACATCCAAAACTTTGCCTGTGTCCATTGAAATGCAACTAACAGTACCATTTAGCGATGAAAATCCTTGCCTTTGCCAGGTGCCATCGCATGACACAGGTACATCATAAAAATTATTTTGTGGTGGATTTTTGGATAACGCTTTTAGTTCTTGAGCCGTATCATTCATAGTTTGAGTAGCAACAACCTTAATGAACTCAAGACCAGTTACTTACCAGTGAACTCCAACAACCTTAACACTCTTTTTTAACGTAAAAACAATCTTGGTATAATTTTTTGATGTAAATGGTGTTGGAAAATTCATAAGGGAACTAAAACGATTAATACCAGAAAAACCTTTACCTCATCTACACATCGAGTATACTATTCTATAGTTTATATCGAACCCTCGTGAGTAAAAAAGGCAGTTTTTATGATGTCCAAAATGAATGTTCCCATTGGCAAGAACATTTTACTTTCATTTTACAAACCCATTTTTTAAACTTTTACTTAGCTTCATACATAAATTTTGTTTGCATTGAGGACAACCAAGAACTGAAATTAAATTTGATAAATTGATAATGTCCAAAACTCGATTCCCAGTAATACTATCATTTAAAAGGAATAACATGGCTTGACAGCTTAGTATAAGATCTTGTGTTTGGTAATGATGCTGAAGTAAATGGAACAAGATTTAACAGCTCAGATTGCATTGACACACATTATTTTTTGTTATTGTGTTTGTTTCCTTTAAACTTCCTTTTCTTTTTTTTTTAAACTTGCAAATTTTACTTTTTTAATTTTATCATTTATTGTCGTTCTTTTATCTGCAACATTATTTTTTTCTATTATTAACAGTTAATAATGGAAAAAAATATGATTTAAACTTTTTAACACAAAATATAATGTGTTTAAGAAGTTGTTTTTTAGGTTCAAATATTTATAAGATGGTAACATTTCACTACATTATCAGAAAAATACTCTTTCGTATGAAAAACTTGTATTTTTTTAAGGCTACGATGGTGTTCCGATACCCCCTCTGGCCCTCTAGACACCTCTTTTATCTATAGAACTATATGAACTTGTTGCCTATTCTTACATCTATCTTTTGATACCAAGGTATAGGCATTTGGATAAGATTTGACAAAGTTATAACAATTTCAGTGAAAAAAAATTAAATTTTGGAGCCAGTTTCTTCAAGAAATCCATATATGGAAAATTTGCTACTATACTATTTACTACTAAACATTATAACTTTTTTTTAAATTGTTCGTTTTTAATAATTTTTTCACCATTAAAATACTTTATTGACTTTCTAATGATATATAACATTCTAGGGTAAACTGACCAAATTCGAGCCAGTGACCAAATTCCAGCCACATTTTAAATTTATTATTTCTGTCTTGTTTTCTGCTTTATGTTTGTAAATGCTACTTTTTTGAGACTGGTATGAATTCAGCCAAAAAAAAAAGCATTGTTATAGTTGGCGGCTGTTTATAATAGAAGTAACATCATAAAAAATATTTATCTCAAAAAAGTACTACTTTATATTTAAAATATCATGTAAGCATCCAGTTTGAAGCTTATAAATATTAAATATTTATTACTTAACGAAATGTTAATTATTTTAAACTATAAATATATTTCTTAAAAAGACAATTTTAGCTTTATAATTATGTTGAGTCATTACTATAGATTGTATTTCTTAATTAATTGCACCTGGTAGAAAGACCAAAATCCGGCCAGGTATAAACCTTATTCCGGCCAAGGCCGAAATTAGGTTCACGAGTGTCTAAAAGTAACTCATACTTGTATGATATTTATATTATTAGATTTTATTCTTTTAATATAAGTACTTTATGTTACATTTATGTCCTAAAAGTTATCAATCTTAAATATTTGCATTTATTTAGTTAAATATTTATATAATATTTTTAAAATTTGAGGATGATGACTTAAAAATAAACAAAAGTCTAAATAATTGAAAGATATTATATTGTTTCATGTAAATTATTACTTATAAATGAAATTATATTAAAAAATAATCTTTAATTGAAAATTTTAATAACTTATAATATAAAGTTTTCATTTTAGAATGGCTGATAATAAAAATAAAATTTATAATAAGAAACGATGTCATCCAACTCGAGGTAAATATATGAAATATAAAGAGGAAGTGTTACTTGAAGCTATAAACAGTGTTATTAGTTCACCTAAAATGTCTGTTAGAGCTGCTGCTAAATTTTTTAAAGTACCCCGAGCAACTTTGCAGAGCAGGATAAATGGAAAAGTTGAGATTGGTGCAAAAGCAGGAAGAAAAAGTTTAATGCCGCTTGATATTGAAAAAAAGATACTCGATTTTGCAGACAACAGAGCTAGGATGGGCATTGGTTTTGGAAAAGAACAATTCTTGGTATATGCTGGCAAGCTTGCCAAAAAATATGGATATTCTTTTAAGAATCGCAAACCATCTAATAAATGGTGGCGACTACTTAACAATCGACATAACAAAAAAGTAACTCTTCGACAACCAGAATCAACAGCATCAGTTCGTCATCATTGCATGAATCTGATAAAGGTGGCAAATTATTTTACTGCACTTAAAGAAGTCATTAAAGACTGTCAGCCTGAAGTAATATGGAACATGGATGAGACAGGACTGCAGCTAGACTTTAAGGCGCACAAAATAGTTGCTGCAAAAGGTACAAAATATTTACATATGAGAACAAGTGGAAATCGAGAAATGATTACTTTAATTGTTTGTGTGAATGCAGCAGGAAGAGCCTTACCACCTCATGTGATTCCAAAAGGAAAGACAGTAAAATCCCTTCAAAGTTTTCAAGTTCTAGATGCCCCTGAAGGAACCAACTGGAGTCCAAGTGAATCTGGATGGACTAAACAAGGGATTGCAAAACTATGGTTTGAGCTTACATTTTTAAAAAACATTGGACCACAACGTCCACAAGTTTTAATTTTAGATGGCCACGATTCCCATAATTTCGTAGAGTTAATAGATATGGCCATACAAAACCGAATTGAAATTGTTGAATTACCTGCTCATACAAGCAATTGGCTTCAACCTTGTGATCGAACTGTATTTAAGCCATTCAATGTTTCATATAATAAAGCAGCCCAGGATATGATGTCTAATCACCCTGGGGTTAAAATAAACAAGGCCAATTTTACAGGACTTTTAACCAAAGCCCGGAATAAAAGTTAAAAAAAGCTTATATTGAATCTGGCTTTAAATCATGTGGAATCTTTCCATATAATCCTTCAATTATTCCAGCTGAAGCTTACTTGCCAAACTATGTGTATTCTGAAGACAGGTTAATTACTAATCTCTTTGATCAAATTAAAACAGTTGATAATACAACAATAGTTAAGCAGATTAAGCAAACAACTGACAGCACAAAAGTACTTTTACCAGATATTGAGTTGGAACAACATCTAATTACCAACCCAAGATTTGCTATAGCAAATGATCACGACTATTTAGCTGAACCAATAACCGTAGTAGAACATAGGAGTGATGATTTAGTGGAACTAAATATGAAAACTATAGAACTAAAAGCTGCAAGTAATAAAGCTACTAGTAAGTTTTAAGACAGCTTTAGGATTATGTCTTACTCTGAAATTGAACAGCCTATTGATCAGCATGAAGTTGATTTTACAGTTTTAACTCTTTTAGCTTCTGATTTTGCAAAAACTAGATCTTTTGCCCCAAATTTCCCCTTTAAAAATTCATCTTATCCAGGAGATGGAGATAATGACATTTTGCCATATTCTTATCCAAATTTTACAAAGAGCAAAAAAGCTAAGAATGCAGACAAGTTTTTTGTGCTTACTTCTAAAGAAGCATATGAGTCACAGTTAAAGCAGAAGCAAAAACAAGCTCAAAATGAAAAGGAAAAAGAAATGCGTAAATTGAAAAGACTACAAAACTTAAAAATAAAGGAAGCAACGGTATTGTCAAAAGATAATCCTAGAAAAAAACCGTTGCTATAAAAATGAACCAATAAAAGTATAAAAAAGCAATGTGTAATTTGATCATGTTGTTATGAATTTTTGTTCTTAGTGTTTAAAAAAGTCTTTTATAGAGTTCACTGAATTCTTTTTTTTTTTAATGTGAATATTATATTCTATGCAAATCTTTTAAAATAGTTTCAAAATCATTTTTGAATAGTTTTAAAATCATGTCCTGAAAACTTATTTTTTTTAGATTTAGGCATCCTTACTAAGTTTATTTGTTGATGAATGCTTATTATTAAGTTAAGCAATCATTTTCTAACTGATGTTTAAGATCACATCAAAAAAATTATTGGTTCAATATTTAGTAATTCAATTAATTTTAAAATATTTTAAATGCCAACCCATAAAAGTATTATAAAAAGCTTGTTATTTATATTGGCTGTAATTAGGTTCATTCCCCATACGCCTGGCTGAAATTTGGTCATAGTGGCTGTATTTTGGTCAAATTTATATACTTTTTGTAATCGTTGTTTTATCAAACATTTTTTATTTATAATAATTGCTGTAATTATATCCTAAATGCTGAAAGATTTATCTTTCTAGAAATGTATAATTTTCATATAGACCTCTTTGTTAATATGTCTGTAGAAACAATTTTGTAAATATGCGGCTGGAATTTGGTCACTTTACCCAAGTATATGCTCAATTAAAAAAAAATCAGTCCACGGACCTAGTAGTAGCGTGCTTAACATGCTCAAGAAGAGCTTTTCCGACCTATATGGAACTACTTTGAAAAATTAATACTTCACAGACTTGAATTAATCATATAAGGTTAAGTTTTATTAAAAAGGTATTGTAGTATATATCATATACAAATCATTTAAGTATAAAAATAGTGAACTAATAAAATTGTTGTATTGTATTGTTGTATTTAAAATTTGCAATACAGGTATGGAGTCCTTACCTTGAAAAAGATATAAATATATTAGAAAAAATTCAAAACGAGTAACGAAATCTGTACTAGCTACGTCGAAAGCTACGTCATCTATCATACAGTGAAATACTAGAAAAAATGAAATTAATATCTTTAAAACAACGAAGAATACGAGGAGATCTCATACAAATGAACAAATGGTATTATGATATAGAGAAAATAACTTGGAAAATACCCCCTCAACATTCGTACTCTTTAAATTCTTCTGGTCCATTCGAGGTAATAAACATAATTTATTCACCGATAAGAAATATTTAAATCGAAATTGTGAAGGTTTTTTACAAATCGCACAGTCAAGTTCTGGAACAGTTTATTAATTGAAACAGTGGAAGTTAAAAATCTCAACTTATTTAAAGCTAAACTAGACTTAATTGACTATCTTTAACTTTCTTGTTATGTCTGTAAAAGATTTAACATAGCGTTAAATCTCAACAGTATTGTATATGTTTTTAAAAATCAATATACAGTATCGGACAAAACAAGTGCAACCAAACAATGCTAATCTAGTTTCTTTATATAAAAGTGCTGCATTTTTTCAATTTAGAGAAATAACTATGTAACTGTTTAGAGACAACGTTTTTCAAGTTTTATTCATCACAAAGTTCATTATTTGTACACAAAAATTAATAAATTAATCAAAAGTATTAAAAAAAGTTGACTTCCTTCTAGACAAAACAAGTGCAACTCCACAAAATGTTGACCATGTAGTATTTCGCTAACAATGTTTTGTGGCAAATCCTTTGTTGTTGATCACAGCCTTGCATCTTCGAGGCATAGATTCAATCAGGTGATCAATAAAACTTTGTGGAATTGCTGCCCAGGCCTTTAGGATTTGTTCAAACAGTTGATCCTTATTACGAACACCTTCACGATTAATTCTACGATTGACGATCTCCCACAGGTTCTCGATAGGGTTGAGATCCGGAGATTGAGGCGGCCAATCCATCACCGATAGGTGGTTGTCTTGAAATCACTGCTTGACTAATTGTGTTAGTGTTAATTGACTGCAGTGTGTTTCGGATCGTTGTATTGCTAAAAAATCCGTTTTATTGGCATATTCCATTTAGCATGAGGTAACATGGTAAATCTTTCAGGATATTTTTATACATGAAACGGTCCATTATTCCATCGATTCAATGTATTGGACCTAGACTGTTAGCAGAAAAACACCCCCAGACCATTACATTGCCTCCACCATGCTTCACGGTCTTATGGCAGTAACGTAAATTGAGGCGTTTTCCGGCTGGTCGACGTACACGGCAAATGCCACCCCTCCCAATGATGTTGAACTTCGATTCATCACTGAACAGGACAGTTCTCCATTTCTGCACATTTCAGTCTATATGAGATGTAGCAAACAGGAATCTTTTCTTCTGGTTCTTTAGTGAAACCAGCGGTTTCTTTGCAGGGCGTGGAGAAAACAATCCGGCTTCAACAGCACGTCGTCTGATTGTTCGGCGCGATACAGTCAGCTCTAATTGCTTTTGTATCTTAACTGATGATATCCAGGAATCCTTCTTGACGGAAGAGACGATCATAGAATCCTCTCTAAAAGTGGTGGAACGCGGTCTTTCACCTTTGTTATCTGCTGCTAATTTCCCCGTAGAACGATATTTGGAACATAGTCTTGACACGGTCCATTTTTTCACGCGATATTTATGACAAATACTTTCCACTTATGTAATCGCCAATAATTTTCTTTCTTAGTTCCAATCCAAGACTGTTGGGAGCCATTTTTGCACTTGAAGTCATAAAAATAATAAAAAATAAATAATCACGCTTCTCAAGGCTTACCGTGTTACATTTACCTTGTGATGATACAATAATGCTCTGTGAAACACAACGTCTTGGTTGGATGTGGACTGTATTGATGTAATGAAACACTTGTTGTATTTTACTTTTTGTATTGATGTTCTTTGATAAAATACTTTGATAAAACTCATTTTCGTAAACTGTCTTGATAATACTGACTAATTGACTTCGATATACTGACTGAATTACATGTCGGTTTACATGTCTCTTATATAGTAAAATGAACCTGTGTGAACATGTTCTTGAAGATTCTAGGTGCTTCTTTTTGATGCTTCAGGAAGCTTCTGGATGCTTCTGGATGCTTCCAGATGCTTCTTCTGGAAACTTCTGGAAGCTTCTACATGCTTCTGGAAACTTCTGGATACTTCCTTTAATTATTAAAAAACTTCCTTGACGTTGACACGGATCAGACTTAAGAAAATGAAACAAACCAAAAAATTGCACTTGTTTTATCCGATGCAAAATGGCACTTGTCAACGAAATTCTGTCTGTGTGCTGTCACTTGTCAGCTGATTGCTCATGTCATGGCATGCTATGACTCAAGACTCCTGAGCTGTTTGCTGTGGTAGTATAGTTCGTTTCGTTTTTAAGACATGTAAAATGAGGAACACTTTTTAGCATTGTTCGATGTTGGTTGCAAATGTTTTGTCCAATACTGTATGTTGCTGTGTCAGCAAATAAAATAGTACTAAGTTCATCAGTTCTAACATTTCTAACAACGCTTAAAGATTTCTGTGTTGTGCGATGACGTGGTAATGGAGTAGGTATTTGACTTAAAGGTATTCCTGGCCAGATGGTGGTATTTTTAGTCTTTGTTTTCCTTGAACAATAATTTTTTCGAAAACTGCTGGCCAATGTAATTGGCAAATAAATGTTTCATCTGAAACTAAAAGATTAAAATTTTGTCCAAATATTTCTTTGTTCTTTATCTTTAAGAAAAGGATAAACTGGTATTTTTTTTAAGCTTTTATTGATTTTGGTACTTTGATAATTAGTTTTGCAGCCATACATACAACACTTGGCATCTATAAAGTATAATTATTTAAAAGAATATAAAAATATGCAAACCATAATAGTAGAATTTGAATTAATCTAAAAAGTCGTTATTAAAAATAATATTTTTATATAATAGTTTAATAATAAAACTACAGAAAAAATACAAACTGATACATTTTAGTAACTGTCTAATAAGATTCTATCGAAATAATTGAATCAAGATTTTATCAATCATATAAATTTAATTATGGCAGTTACTCGAGATGACATTAAAAAAATATTGAAGGAGATGTTTAGTGATTACAAAAAACAATTTGAAGAAATCTTAAAGCAACAAAAAATAAACATAATAGCCATTGTAAGTTCAAGCGCAAAAATAATTCGTGACCGCTTAGATAAAGTTGAAAAAAATATAAACGACAATGCCGAACGAGTTAAGTCAATAATAAAAGATGTTGAAGAAATGAAATTAAGCTTAAATTTTCATGAACAGCTTATTGATGATAAAATAAAAACTGCAATTAGTTATCAGGAAAAGATAAATCCATCTGGTAGTGAAACAACTAAATTAAACTCGGAATTCCTTAATATAAAAAACAAGTTAAGGGAAATGGAAGATCGTTCGAGGCGAAATAACTTAAGAATAGACGGATGAAAACGAAAGCTGGGAAGAGACCGAATCAAAGATACAAAAATTATTTGAAGATTATCTAGATGTAAAGAATGTTAAAATAGAACGAGCTCACAGAACTGGCAAGAAAGATGCAAAAAAACCGAAAACAATTGTACTAAAACTCTTGGATTTCAAAGATAAAACAGAAATTCTTAAAAA